GGGACAACACTTTTCTGTCTTGGTAGGCTTTGATTCAGCTCCCAGCATGTGCCACTGCTGCCAAGCTCTCAAATTCTTCTTAAAACCACTACTTTCTAGGGTGTTTTTTGTTCAGTTTAATTTATAAATTTATTTTTTATTTGTTGCAGTTTAAAAAACTTTATTATACTACACACTCTATTAGTAAATACACCAAATTTCATTTTCTCAAATGGTGAATGGAGTGCAAGATGGTCATCGCATGTTTCTTCTAAGCATAGGACCAGATTGAGGGATGGCTTTAGTGTATTCCTATTGAGTGACCACATAAGTGTGGAAGCCTACCATTGTCCTGTCATCATATGTCAGAGGAAGGTCCACTTTAGATTGGAAGAAAATGTTTCAAGGTAGTGCTCTCTGCTCTTATCCACTTCTGCTGCTGTAATAGTGTATCAGGATGCTTATCAAGCAGGAAGAGAAAAGATATTTCAAAGGAAACTGCTTTTAAAGTCCACTTCTAGGCACACTGATTTTCATTCCATGGAGCCTGTCATCTTGCTTAAATCTGGGTCCTACAAGGTACCACCTACATGTATTTTTAAATGTTTGTCTACAAATGCTTTTTCCAGGGTGTTACAAGTTAACATTATGTGCAAAGTGCACATAATTGCTCTCATGAAATAGCCTCTATTATACACCAAGAGTTGTGCATTAGTAACCTCTAATGCATTTCTTAGCCTTTTCTAGTTGACAATTGATAGTAACCACAACCATGGCATAGTGGGTCACACCTGTAAACCTAGGAAGTAGATGTGTGGTTTGAAGCCATCCTGGGCAAAAACTTTGTGAGACACCAACTCATCCATATCAAATGATGAGTGCCACATTCAGCTTTTTCTGCTTATGTGGTTTGTGCTGAGGAATCGAATCTAGGGCTTCATGCATGCAAGTCAAGCACTTACCACTGAGCCACCTTCCCCACCGAGTTTTATTTATTTTTTAATTTCCAAAATAGCTCCAGAAGTGGAGCTATGGATCCAATGGCAGAATGCTACTCCTCAACAAAAAGAGCTCAGGGACACAGCTTATTAAGTAAAAAATAAGAAGTTTTCAGTTTCCTTAGAAACAGAGCAGAGTTTATAGAAAAATTAAATGCAATAAGTTGTTTTTCTGAAAGCAGACAGTCAGGATGAATTTGCTACTTCTCCTCTGACTCCATCTCAGCTAAAATCTTGACTAAGACACTAAGGACTAACCTCTAACAAAAGTTTTATGCCCATGGTTCTGTAATGCTAGCTGCTGAGATCTGAGCACCATGGTTCAAAGTCAGCCCAGGAAAGTTCATGAGGCTGTCACCTCCAATTAATCACCAAAATGCAGAAAGTGATGTTATGACTCAAGTGGCAGAGCACTATCCTTGAACCAAATTGCTCAGGGACAGTGCCCAGCCCCGAGTTTCATCACTATGACCAGTAAATAAAACATAGAGAATATAGGGAATTATACAAAATGCCAGATTCTACCAAATAATAAAGAAGAGATGAACTCCCTGTCCTGCTGCCCAGAAGCTAGAAACTGCAGTGTTCCCAGGCAGGATGCACATGTGTACACCTTTGATTCCATAGTTACAATAGCAGAGCATGAGGTATTCTAACTCCTGAAAAATGCCTTTGGCTTGGCCTTTAGCTGGTTGTTTTGCAGTTGGAATCTCCTAGACTTTTCTGCCTAGGCTGCTTTTGAATTGTTATTCTCCAGCTCTCAGCATGCTCACTAAATAAGATGATAGCATGATCCATCATGGGATGACACATTGCTGAGGAACTTCTTTGAAACAATGGAGATGAAAATCCCCATAAATGATTGTAATTTAATGTGCAATATTGAGTGGTGGTTAGTCTGTTCAGGCAGGTGTACAACAGCCATCAGCAGGTCTGAGCTCAGCGCTCCTGGTGTTCAGCACTGATCATTTTTTAATTGTGCTAACCCTTTATATTATTGCAAGTGTTCTTTATTTTATGTTCAAGAATCTTATAACAAACAAGACTTGAAAATATCTTTTTCTGTTTTCCATTCAGGTGTGGGTTGGGGAGGGGGGGAGGGGAAAGGATTGAGAAGGGAGGTGGCCTGAGAAGGCACTGGGGACTGGCAGGGCATCAGGGTCTGAGCTAGTTCCCCAGTTCCTTCTGAATAAAGTGAGGCTGCATTGTTGGACAGTCAGTAGGGACAGGACACACTAGTGGGAGTCCACACTGGCTCTCTCCAGGACTGCAGTGTCCTGGTCCCTCCTGCCTGCTTGCAAGTGCCCTGGATGTGGCCCTCTCATGGGCCCTGGTGGGTGAATGTCCTTAGGTTGCCCCGCTGGCTTCCTGTTCCCAGATTTACCATGATTAGCAGCTGCCCCTCCTCACTTTGGTTCCAATCCCAGCACTATCTGCCTCCTACCAGCACCTCCCCACTCATGGCTCATGCCTGCAAGGCAAGCATTCTACCACTGCTGACACATTATTTTTTCTTGTTCAAAACACCATTGCTAGGAGGGATGAGTGACAATGTTGTCAGACAACTTGTATTTATATACTGTCTTGTAGAATGGAAACTTCTTTGTACAACCACCTAAAGATAACAATAACAACAATAATAATAAATGTTTAAAAAACACCATTGCTTCTGTCCTGCACTGATAGAAAAATATCCTAGTTCCCTTACCTGCACTTCTGATAAATGATTTTTATCAAGATTTCTGATTTACTAGAGACAGCTTACATTTGACCATTTATGTCAGTCACACCACACCGAGGTGACTCTCAGGTCAGGGAAGGAGCCCTGAGCCCGGCTTATCACCCCATCCAATTCTACTGACTTTAATCAAGTGCACTATTCCCTACCTGGTAACATTCCTAATGAACCTCATGATCATTTACAACATCCTTCTGGACTTCCTGGATATGAGAAGCCACAGGTCAGGTGAGTCCTAGGTCTGTGGGAGCAAGTCTCCTGCTGAGCCCTGAATTCTGAGTTCCAGGACTGTTCTTCCTTTAACTGGAAACTTCTTTATTTAACGTAAGCCACTTTTGATTTATGAATTTGTCATTTTTCTATTTTTACAAAATAGAATTTTTGAAGCAAGTCTTGATTTATGAATATAAGGTGGCATTTGCTATTGTACAGAGAATAAATATAGTTAATGTAAGCCTTCGTTATAAAGGAAGCTATTTGTTATTTGTGGGGGCTCTGGGAAGAATGTTTTTCCAGTCCCAAGTCTTGAATTCTGAGCCTAGGCACTGTCCCTGAGCCTGTTTGTGCTCAAGGGTAGCACTCCACCACTTGAGCCACATTGAAGCACTTGAGCCACTACACAGTTTTTTCTGAGTAGCTTATTGTAGATAAGTGACTCCTACCCAGGTTGGCTTAAAACTGCAATCCTCAGATCTCAGCTTCATGAGTATCGATGATTACAGATCTGAGTAACTGGCACCCAGCTGATAATCGAATATTTTTAAAAATTGTATATTCCCAGAGACAGTCATGATGGTTTATTGCTTGCTGTTTTGGAGGCCTGAACTCACATTAGAGATACTGAGAACTCAGTAGTCTGTCTAGCAAACCTAATATATTGGCATCTGTCACATGATAGCTTGCTATTATTAAAGTTCCATCTTTGTGTTTGAGATGCTGAGATGTGAAGAATAAGGGTGAAAGCCAGCCTAGGCAGGAAATCTGTGATACTCATCTCCAGTAACTTGAACAAAAAAATCCAGAAGTGGAGCTGTGGCTCCAGTGGCAGAGTGCAAAAAATAAGAAGCTCAGAGACAACACAGGTCCTGAATTCAAGTGTCAGTATTCAATTCTCAGGACTGGGGCACACACACATACACATACACACACACACACACACACACACACACACACACACACACATACACACACACACACACACACACACACACACACACACACACACAAACACACACAAAGAGCTGGTCATCGGTGGCTCCTGCCTGTAATCCTAACTACTCAGGATGGTGCAATCTGAGGATCATGCTTCAAAGCCAGCCCCTGCAGGAAAGTCCGTGAGACTTCTGTCTCCAATAAACCACTCAGAAAACTGGAAATGGCAGTGTGGCTCAAGTGGTACAGCGGTAACCTTGAACTGAAATTCTCAGGGACAGGGTCCAGGCCCAGAGTGTTTTTCCATGACTGACAGAAGAAAAAGAAAAAGAAAGAGCAAGAAATAAATAAAAAGAAAATGCAAGGATGTGGGGAAACAAGAACAACAACAACAAAACCCACAGGACTTCTATCTTGGGTAGAAATCTGACCACCTAGGGAAACATACTAGTGAAATGTTGACCCTGACCCCACACTAAGTCATGGATCTTGGAATAATAGCTGTTTCTAAGGAAAACAGGACCCTGCACAAAAGCATGAACTATAGTATAGTATATTCAGGAAGGATTCCAATGGTGTAACTCCTTTGAACACCTGAATAGCATGACAAGGGTGGAAGGATAATGTCAAGGAAAGTGGGGTAGACCAGTGAAGAAAGGAAAGGTAGATGAATGCAGCCACGATAGTCAATGTAAATGTGTGAAAATGGAACTAGACAAACAGGTGATGGGGGCTGGGGAAGGGATGACAAGAATGATAAAACGGGTGACATCTATCATATGCATTGCACTCATGATCTAAAGTATGGACATGAAAACCCTTTGTACATCAACTTCATAAAATACTATTTGTAAATGTAATGACACATTGCACTCACAAACTGATATGTTGAATTGAAATTCTTTGTACAATTACTTAAGTATTTCTATAATAACAAATTCCTTATTAAGCTGGGCATTGGTGTTTCATGCCTGTAATGGTAGCTACTCTGCATGCTGAGCTCTGATGTTTCCGGTCTCACATTCTTCCTCTCTGCTTTGACAGTATAATATCATCATTATTTATGATAGCGTACTTTAAAAAAAATTTTTTTTTGGTCCTGGGGCTTGAACTCTGTGCTTAGGCACTGTCCTTGTGCTCTTCAGCTCAAGGTGAGCACTCTACCGCTTGAGCCACAGCACCACTTCCGGTTTTCTAGTGGTTTATTGGAGATCAAGAGTCTCATGGACTTTCCTGCCAGGGCTGGTTTGAACAATGATCCTCAGATCTCAGTCTCCTGAGTAGCTTGTATTACAGGCATGAGCCACCAGCTCCTGGCTCACGGTAATAATCTTGAACACACATTTTACTCCGTGTTTTACATTGCCTAATAATATTCTCACATTGATAGGCTGTGAAGCTGCTGTGGGTTTGGTATTATTCTTGCAGTGTAAAATAACTACACTCATTACCTGCAAAGCTTTAATCTCTGATAATGCTGAAAATTATTACCCCCAGAACCATATTCATCTCTATACCTTGATATTCCTAAAGTCACATGAATGATCTGAATTAATTTAACCATTCATCACCTACTTATTAGCATGGAATGTCTGTTCATATGTACTCGCTATCATGAAAATTACTTTCACTACTTTTCATTTTTCTCTGTACCGCATTCTAACCCTATCACCCTGACTTCTCCTACATTAGTTCACCTCACCTATCCAAGCAGCCTTTAACATACAGAAAACAGGTCAATACTAATTGTTTTTCAAGTCCTTTCATTATAATACATGCATGGAACTTATTTCCTTTTAGGTTTTATTTGAAGCAAACCTAATTGTGACTCTCCTAATCATTATCTGAGAAGGGAGTCTGACAGAACAACCTAGCATGTGCACGCTCCCAGAGGACCCTCTAGCAGGAAGCAGCGCTCACTACACCCTGGGCCCCATGATGCCCACGTGCTGAGCGCGCCCTCTGGCGGGAAACAGCATTCACTGCACCCAGGCTCTGAGCACCACAGTAGTTTCAGCTCCAGCCTGTGGAATGGCCTGGCCCTGGAGACCTGGGCTGCTCTCAGGACAGTCCTTCTCCACTAAGAGTCATCCTCATCATCCCTTAATAAAAGGGCAAAGGAGAGGAGGAGGGTGCAGCGGAAGGAGATGGCCAGGAGGGACGTAGAAGCTGCGTGCACCGCGGTCCGGTGCGGGTGCGGTGGCCCAGCCCCTGCCTCCGATTTCATCTATGCAGCTTTTCCCATGACAGTTAACGAGATACCGAATCGGTTATTTCTTGAAAGATTGTCCCCAAGCCGCTCTGCCTTTCCCTGCCTTTCCCTGAACGAAGGCGGCTTGACGATGTGTGGGTGCCCAGCACACTTGGGGGCCATTCCATCTCCTGATACTGTTCGCTGTCCCGTTCTGCTGCTAGGCGCTGCGGTCCGAACCCTGGTTCCCATGACCCACTAACGCCCCCGGAGCCGGTCCACACAGAGCCCCAGAAGGACCCAGTTCTTTGCCCAGGGCTCCCCTTGCGGGTCCTGTCGACCACACCCCGCACCGGCCACTGACAACCCTGACTAGGGAACCGAATCTGGACCCTGACCTCCGGCAACGGGGGGGGGGGGGGGGGGGGGGTAGGGGGGGGTGGAGGGGGGGCAGGGCTGCGCATGTGCAGTGGGGCTTACCGGGCAGTGGAGAATCCGCTACCTCCCACCAGGTGTTTCCATAAGGCATGGCGTGGTGGACTCACCTGATCCAGCTCCTGGGACGGTGCCACCAAGGCCTTGGCCAGAGTTGTGCCTGCTGCTCAGCGCTTCTGATTCTCTACCACAAGTTTAGACCAGGATCCGTGCCCAGACATGAGCCAGCCAAGTTCACGACCCCGCTACCCCGAGCCCAGAGGCCACCCTTCCCCACAAGCACCAGGCCGGGCTCCGCACCCCGGTGCCGCCAGTGTGCAAGCGAGAGCACGATGGTGTGAGGCTTTATTCACTACAGGTCTATGCAACCTGCGGGAGCCCAGGCTTTTCAGCGAATCGGCTTCTCCTTGGGTCAGTAGATGCGGCTTGGTCGCACAGATTGGCTCACCGGGAATGCAGACCCAGATGTGAGGGAATGCAGGGCCCAATCACCATGGAGACCAGAACCCGTGAGCATTACCATTGAATGGAATCCCTGGGCTTCAGGAACTAGTGTTGAAGGAAATACACAAAAGCCCCACCGGGGCCTCAGTTTATGTATAGCCAGCTTGTTATTCATGCAGCATTTATACCACCTACTGAAGTTTGGAAAAATTGTAAGGTAATTTTTAATGTGATTCTGTGTTTCAGAGAAAATCTAAGCTTTTGTGGTGGTGGTGGTGGTGGTGCAATATAACTTCCTGGTAGATTTAAGTTTGGGATATATAGGAAATAAAAATTAGGTTGCCTAGTGCCCGGTCAGATAGTACATGTTGTCATTCTTCACGCTGACAAATAGATTCGTTTTTGGACAGGAACATGAAAGGGTACATGTTAAAATATGTATTTTTCATAAATCTGCATGGATTGTGTAGAACATCAAAGCTGTTTTTAAAGGAGAGATTCGTGGATGTATTTGTGCTGTGCTTTCATTTCTTTGTAAATGAAGTAATGACTGATAATACACTTGTTGGCCTTTTCATGCCTTCATATATATGTACACATATATAGAAATAGATGTCTGGTTTTTTGGTTTTCCAGTGTTTGGAAAGGAACTGATGGCAAAATTAATATTAAGTATACTTTGCCAGATAACCATGCAGACAGCAAGGTACAGAGAACAAAGAAAGGTTTATTGGTGGGGAAAGAGTGCCTGCAAGACTCCTTCTCCCAAGGGAGGAATGAGAAGAAGCACCGGTTATTTTTTGGGGTGACCTATATAACCTAGGAGGTGTAGGAGGTGCTAGAAGGTGCTAGGAGGTGGAGACCCTGGTGTCCACATGTGGGCCAGGGACTTCATCATGTCAGACTAGGATTTATGCCTCCTATCCACCTAGTAGATAAGGGTCCTGCAACTGCCCAAACCTGAAGTTCACCCTAAGGGTTCTTGTTGCCTTATATGGTGGTATCGGTCCCAGAGAAGTGCAATCCCAAGGTAAAGGGGGTTGGAAGTTGATTATGTACTGCCTTTACTATGTGGGCCTAGCGTTGCTTAGGAAGGGAGTATGTTAAGCTGTGGAGAAGGGAGGGAATGGACTAAAGCTATGGGAAGGGACTCATTTTGCTAACAGGACCTTAGTTAGATTCTCTACTGATGAGCTATACCTCCACCTTAAAAACAATTATAATTGTAGACATCCCATACTTCAAGGTCAACCTAAAGCATGAGTGGCAAAGCCAAACACAAGCATGTCAATTAAATAAAAACAGATTTTGGTTTGCTTTGTCATAACTCATGAACTACTAATATTGTATCACTATGTTTAGAAATTCTTTACTATCTTATTGGCACTTTAAATTTATCTAAGTAGTCATTGATTTTGAAAATCACAGCATGCTTAGTAGGGGTCAATTAATGGTCCTGTTGAGGAGGTCATGTTGAGGAAAGACCCACAGCCTTTTCAGTGTGCTCTTGCAGCTGGTCCTTGAGAGGGAGAAAAGGACTGTAGCTAGAGCCAGGAGAAGGCATGTAAGGCCCTTTCACAGTGAAAAGGAATGAGACAAAAGCAAGGTGGGATTCAGATTTCTCTACCTGTCTGTCTTCTTGTGACCTGATGTCAGAGTCTGCACTAGCATGGATCCTCTGGCCTCTGTTTTATTGCAAAGGCAATGAGTGAAGAAAAGTCATGTGATTTGAAGTTAAGAGGGATTTTGGGTCAGCCTTACTCAGCCTTATGTACTATTGTTGATCAGGTGTGATGTAATGGCGGGCTGACTTTTTCTCTTTTTTGGGGGGGGGGGCGGTTGTGGGGCCTGAACTCTGGGCCTGGGCGCTGTCCCTCAGCTCTTCAGCTCAAGGCTAGCGCTCTAACACTTTAGCCACAGCGCCACTTCCGTCTTTTTTCATTTTGCTTATGTGGTGCTGAGGAATGGAACCCAGGGCCTCAGGCATGCAAGGCAAGCGCTCTACCACTGAGCCATCTTCCCAGCCCTTATTTGTTCTATTTATTTCTCTCCTTCCTCATCAATCCCCAAACCATGTCTGTGGCAGTATTTGTTGTATATATTTTGATATCCTATTATTAGGTGTATACAGTTTGTGTATACAAACTGTATGTGTAACATTTAATTAGTATGTCTTTATCTCAAACCTAGGCATCATGCATGCATTACTAATGCTGTGCATTCAACGATGCCATATCTTCAACTTATAGTGTAATTCTTTCTCTGTTGGAAATGTACTGTATTTTCTAGTAATTCCTTTCCAGAACATGTTAAATGTTTATGCCAGAAGCGATAAGGTTAGAGAGATTTTCCTTACCCTTACCTTTTCTCTCCATCGGTATTCTCAAGAGATAAAATTTCACGAAATCATATGACAATAAATTAATTTGAAATCATATGTCATCACTATGTGAAGATCATTGCTATTATTTAGGCATATTAAATGTCAGTTTTTAGGTAACTGAAGTGGCTTTTCATACCTCAATCTATAACCCATATTGCCCCCTCTTTCCCTTTATTTCCTCCATTTCTTATTCTCTGTGAAGTGTGAGGGGAGGTTGGCTAAGGGGGAGAGGGAACTGCTTGTTTTCTGGCTCTGCTACCTAGCTTGGTACCAATACCACAACTTTGAATAATCTGTGGAGAGTGTCAGGCAGCCCAGAAGACAAATCAAATCTTGGACTGAGTTCTGTGGTTGCACCTCTGTGGAACTCTGTTGCATTCCTACAGTGCCCTGCCTTTTACCCCACCTTTGGACCCACAAGAATTCTCTGGCTTATTTCCTGTCAGACAACTGGAATTCCTAACCTGGGTAGTTGCAGAAAATAGACAGTAGGTGGCGAGTGCTCACCATAACATTGCCTAGAGAGGGAGAAGAACGTTGGTGATGGCTGGACTCTGGCATATCAGTGATTATCCTGGCACCATACCTTGGATGCACCGTGTTCTGCCTGACTGAAGCACACAGGACAGTACTGATGTCTGCCAGTTTTCACTCTTGCATAATATAATACTAATTCACCCTGAGGAAATCTGTAGTAGAGCTGCGACCTCAATCATTTAGATACTGTAGCTTCTCAGTTCCAAATGTACATTTTGCTGTAAACATAATTAGTCTCTGAGCTGGGTGCTTATGGCTTAAGCCTATAATCCTAGGTACTGAGATGGCTGAGAGACATCGGAGGATCATGATTCAAAGCCACCATTGGCGGGAGACACCCATAAATGGTGCTGTGGCTCAAAACTGGTAGAAAACTACTCGTATATAAATAAAACATTCTGTGATAGTGCCCCAGACGCTTAGGTGTAGCCACACAGTAAAGAAAGAGATAAAGACAGATTGTCCCTTGGAGGAATTAACAATGTGTCCTTTATGAGGGTTAGCATCTGTTTGTAATTTTTACAGAAGCATAAGTTAAAAGATTTACAAGCCGGGCGCTGCTGGCTCAGGCCTATAATCCTAGCTACTCAGGATGCTGAGATCTGAGGATCGCAGTTCAAAGCCAGCCCGGGCAGGAGAGACCTTGAGACGCCTATCTCCAATAACCAGAAAACCGGAAGTGGCGCTGTAGCTCAAGTGGTAGAGCGCTCGCCTTGAGCTGAAGAGCTGAGGGACAGCTCCCAAGCCCAGAGTTCAAGTCCCACGACCGACACACAAAAAAAGATTTACAATACAATAGTTTAGCTGGAGTTAAAATGGAGTATTGGCCTTCACCATTCAAAATAGAATTAACCAATCACATTCAAAACTCAAACCAATATTTTCTCATTTTCTCTCCTGTTTAGTCACAGATTGCATTTTCTTTTCTATTTCTAATTCCTTGAGCCAAAACTCTTGTCTTTTTCATACAATACCTTAGAATCTTATAATTCAAACTTTGGTCTCATGGTGCCTGCAATGATTATTTTTAATCTCAATTCCTACAGTGCCCCACCCCCACCCTTCCTTGATTCATTCATTTCATGAGAGGAAACTGGAATTCACAAGCATGGTATTTTCAGAAAGTGGACACTAGATGGAGTTTGCTCACTGTCGTTCTATTGTTCTGAGCGAGGGCAGGGAAAGGAAGGAATACCCATCACACTTGGCGGGTAGTGAGAGCTTCTTGATTTTACTGGCACCATAAAGTGCCGCCTCATGTGATTCTGCCCTCCTTGTGGTCCTGCATTACACAGTACTAATCAGCCCTGAGGAAACCTTCAACAGACCTGAAACTACAGTTGTTATAGATACATAGCATAGCTTTCCAGTTCCAAATCAAAGACAATTTCCCCTGTACAAAATGAGCCCCATTAGCCTTATGCTGCTGGCTCATCTCTGTAACCCACAGCTACTTAGAAGGCTGAGAGAAATCTAAGGGTCGTTTCCAAGCTGGCCTAACAGGGTAGTCTTTTAGTCTACTGTGAGATTAAGGATTCCCCAGGAAACCACATGTGGAGCTGTTGCCCAAAAATGTATACTAGTAGCTGCCTTGGGGAAAAAATAAAATGCAAATATCAACACCCAGGCACTGAGCTCAATCCTCACATCCAAAAAAAAAAAAAAAGGTAAGGAAGAAAAGAAGAAATAAAGAATTCATTTCAATTTTTTGTTTTGTATGAATCATTTCCATGTGATATTTCTTGTATTTTTCAAGTCTATTAATATATTCTGTATAGAACACTACCTTAAGATTGCTTTCTTGCAGTGTTCTTATCTTACGCACTCATTAACTTAGGCCTTGGCCTTTGCAAAAGGTAGTTCTCTGAGAGGCTTCCTGCCTACATATCCTGATAACAGTCCTTCTCTTCTTGGAATTCCAGTTTCTTCTAAAAGGTCCTAAGCAACACTGCAACTAAGTCGTTGCCATGACTACATTTACAAAACAAAAGTTATCTCAGTTACCTGTGGAACTCTGCCTCCCTACTAGGCCAACACCCACCCTCTATCTTCCCTTCTGGGTGTGGGTGGGGCAAGCTGACTAAATGGCTCCTGTATTTCCTGGGAGGCTATTTTTTTTTGTGGGGGGGGAGGTTCCGGTCACGGGACCTGAACTCTGGGCCTGGATGCTGTCCCTCAGCTCTTCAACTCAAGGCTAGCACTGTACCACTTGAGCCACAGCGCCACTCCAAGCTTTTTTCTTTTTGCTTATGTGGTGCTGAGGAATCGAACCCAGGGCCTCAGGCATGCAAGGCAAGAGCTCTACCAATGAACCGCCTTCCCAGCCCATGGAAGGCTATTTTTTTAATGTGGCTCCCCAGTTATCTGTTATTATGGCATTGAGAAGCTGGGTTGTGAAAAGACGCGCAAGACTACAATTAGTACGGAAAGTCTAGTGCTAGTGGAAGCTTACATGTATGGTTTCTAGAGTGGCTGGAGCACCAGTACTGAAAAGAAGATTACAACCTGTCTGGAGAACTAGGACAATGATTACATGATTGGTGAGTAAACTTGCTTCCCATTCCATTTTCACCATGGTTTTTCACTCTAATAATCCAATCTGTGGCCTTCTTTTTCCCTTATTTTCTCCACCCCACCCCACACCCAACAGCAAGGGACAATCCCCCTCTATTCTCTTTTCTCTGTCTTCTCTAGAATCACTTGCAATATAAACCAATGTCCTCACCTACTCAGGTAAACTTTTTATATAGGTATCAGAATAAAATTTCTTGAACTATATAGACTTTTATTCACTTGATTTCCCTTAAGTAAATTAAAATAACTGGCTGTTGACAGGGCACATCTGGATATTTCTATCGGTCCCATAGAGATAATCTGTTACATTTTAGGACATGGTAGATTATATTTGCTATTTCCCCAAATGGACTTTACAAAAGCCATCCGTGGCCCCAAAGATGTTTCTGGACCTCTCATCATGTGTGACTAAATAGGCCTCAGTGAGTTAAGCTGAGAAAGCTGCAAAACAAAGCAGATCACTTCAGTTATGGAATATTAAGAGAATAAAAGTAGCTTTATACCACTGGATCTTTAGCGAGAAGATAGAATAAAAAGAAGAAAAAAATATTGGAGGATGCAATATAAACCAATTGAAACGTATCCAACCGATGATCTGGCTTTGAAGTGGCTATTTACTAGTGTGGTCATAGACCATCGTGTCCAGAAGGATAAATCAATGTGTTTTGAAAGATCCTAAACCAAATATACTTGTAATAATGACCAAAAGGCTAGGACAGGTACGTTTCTGTCCTCCTAATTCCAGCTTTAATCCTAACATGTCCGGTTTTTATAATACCTTCACAGTCATGCCACTTATGGATATTACGTCTTATGTCTTCTCTGCAATATCTTAAATGCTCAGAGAAGTTACACCTTCTGACAAAAGGACTGTATGTGTGTCACACACATGGGGGCACACACACTCTGTTTGCCCGGAGTGCTGTGTAGCTTACCATGTCCAGTTATAGTTTAGGTCTAGCATCCACATAGGAGGGAAAACACGTGCCGTGCCGTTGGTCGGTCGGTCGGTCGGTAGGTCGGTCTGTCTTTCCACCGGTCTGTCTTCCCCTGGCATCACCTGTTCTAGGTCCTTCTCCGCCGCCGGCAGCCCCCCCCCCCCCCCCCCCCCCCGCGCGCTCCTAGTCCATCGATCTACTTCCCTGTAACTGACATAATCTTATTCTTATTCTTTGGGGAACAGATGAATAAACTTTTCCTTGTGGATATTGTACACACACCGTAACGTGTGTGTGTGTGTGTGTGTGTGTTGACGGAATAGAGTGTTTGCCATGCCTGATTCCCTGGCTCTGCCTCTCTACCCGTCTGTGATGCGATGTGTGTGCTGGGGCACTTGTGCCTGCGTATGTTCCCAGTGCGAACTCCAAAGAGAAGTACGCCCTCCGGGCCTGTGGGTTCTAACCGTGCTTCGCCCCCGGGAGATAGGATCGCCCCTCTGATGCCTCCACTCTGTTTGGGCCGGGGCCCCTCGTCTCTCCCTGTCTTTCCTCCTAGGGTTCCCTACCTGCCCTCCCCCCAGCCCCGCACACACACACTGTGCACCGCCACGCTCAGGTCCAGGTCCTCCACCACAGGCATGTGAGTGATGATGCCTCTACCCTCCAACGCCTGTGTGTAGGGTTTAGATTCATCGCCTCATGCCCCGAATCCTGCTTCAGAGAGAGTGGCAGAGCCTATTAGAAAAGGCTAGCTGTCTGGACAGGCTAGAGTACGAACTGGTGAGAAGGTCGTTCCGTCCGGTGTGGTGCCCGGGGATAAGCGACACACGGGTGCCACCTCCCCTTCCTTCCCCACCCAGCCAGTGGCTCTCGTTTGGCTTTCCTGTCATTCAGTGATGGATGAGTGGACTCACGCTTCCCATTGCACTGTCACCGTGGTTTTCCAGACCTGTGTGTGTGACGTACCTACTCCCTGTGTGTTAGAAGAAACCTCTCTCTGGTCTTCCCCCTGCCCTTTCCCTGCCTGTGAGGGGTGGCGAGTGGGGGCGGGGGGAGGGAGTGTGTTGTGGGGAGGGAGAGCGGCGGACTTTCACAAGTGAGCGGGGTGCCTCCCGAGGGCTCCTCTCTTGCTGGAGCCGACCCATCTTTGGGAGTTTTTTTTTTCCTTTCTGGTTTCCACCTGGGGGAAAAAGAAAACAAAACGTACAAACAACCCCCCCCCCAAAAAAAAGACGGGCAGGCAGATGGTGGGACCGGGGCGGCTGTTCTGTCGGACTTTGCGCCCGCAGGCGAGCACGGGGTAGGGCCATGCGTTGCCGCTCTCTCTTCCGTGCCCGGTCTGTGCGGGAGTGGCAGCTTTGTCGGGTCGACCAGTAGTTTTGTCTGGGCCCGAGGCCTTGTCCTCCTCCCCTCCCTGGACTCTGGTCTTTGAGGGCGAAAAAAGGAGAGTACGAGGGACGTCTCGGGAGTCGGGGGAGAGGGTCCCTGGGTGAGCGGATAGGTGGTGGGGCTGGTCCCGGCCCGGACTCTGACCCCCCCCCCTCCCCGGAGTCACCTCCGAGTGAGCGCTTGGCGCATGCCGGGTGCGAGGGCCTGGGTCGCCGGCCCTGTGTGGCCTTCCTCCATGGCCCCGGCGGCCGGAGGACAGACCTCTCTGGCGGGAGGAGCCTTGGGCACAGCCGAGGCGAGCCTCGGGGCCGGGACCTACCTACCATCTGCGGGGACTTGCCCGGTGGGCCCTGCGTAGGGGAAAACTCGAGGCGGAGGGAGCACCCCGGGAGTCGGGGACCCGAGCCCGGGAGTCCCGGGTGTGTGCGTGCTGGCTCTGTTGGGGACGTGTTGGGGACCTGGTTTTGACATGGTGACGTGAGGATTTTGTACCTGCAGGAGGGTGCTGGCATGCTGTGTCCCAGTGGCTGTCAGCAGGTCTTTGGGGGCTCTCTCGGATGCTGTGTGCCGGGCCTTTCCCGTCTCTTCCCGGTCCGGGTCCCCCTGTCCTTCCCCCCGCACCCTGGGCTCCCACTGCCCTGAGCAGGCCCTGTGCCCCTGTGGTGGCTCGTGGGTGTGGTGGTGGTTGGTTGGTGGTTGGCGGCTGAGTGAGTCCCGTCGTCCTTGATCTCTCCCCCGCTCCCGGTGCCGGATTCTGGCCCTTTCCTCGGCACGCCGAGGAGGAGAGTGGTTGGTTGCCTGGGGTGCATAGGTAGGTCCGCGCGGTGTGCTTCCCTCGCCGTGGCTGGCTTGAGGAGGAAAAGTGGGGGGGCGAGTCCTGCCTTGCCTGTGCGTGTGCGGCATCCCCGTTCTGCAGTTGGGCACGCCCGACCTCCGTGGCTCCTTTTTTTTTTCTTTCTCCTATTGCCCCTAGCTCTCCAACTCCCTCGACCTGCCGCTTCCCGATGGCAGGCCTGGTCGGCCGCTGAGCTGCGCTACTCCCAAGCGCTGTCCGTGGCTTTTTTCTTCTTTTTTTTCTTTTCTCCCTTTCTAGCTTCTTCGGTCCTGTGCCCGGCAGAGGTGTCCTGGTTATCCCGAGTGCCAGGGACGTTTAAGCCCGTTGTATTTTTTCATTTCTTTTTTTCGTTTTTTTTTTCTTTTTTCTTTTTACCTCGCTTGTTACTCACGAAAGGGTGTCTGTCCTGCTACGCTTTTATCCCAGGCTGTTGGCCCCTCTCAGGAGCTGAGCTTCCTGGGCCACCGCCTCCCGAGTGCCGTGTGGCTGTCTTCTCCACCCCCTCGGTGTGATTGATGTGGTGATGTTGCGATCTCTTTTGGGCCCGGGCCTAAGCTGCGCCAGGCAAGGGACGGACATTCATGGTGAATGGGAACGCTCTTCTCGTTCTGCCCGTGGGCCCCTGCCCTCACCGTCCCACCGTGCCGGCGCCGGTGGTATGCGGGGAGGCAGGGGTGCGGCAACCGGGTCCGGCTGCGCTCTCCCTCCCCTCGCCGGGAGGTCCGGGACTTGTACACGCTGGATGAGGGGGTCGCCCTGATCTTGCTCCTCTCTTCCTGTGACTCCTTATCGGCACGGGGGTCGGCTCTCTCCGCAGAGAGGGAGGGTCGGTGCTCCGTGCTTGCCCATGCTGTGTGGTGTGAAAAGCCGCGCCTCGCGCTCTGCCCTCTTGCAGTGCTCCCGGAACGCTCCCGGTCGGTTCTCTCAGGTGTCTGAGGATGAGTGGCTGTGTCGTTCCGGATCCTGGCATTGTCCGCTGCCTTGTGCCAGCCTGCTGCCTGTGGTGTGTCCCAGCCGTCCTTGGGTTCGTGGGGCTTGTGTGAGTGAGAAGTTACCGTTGAGGTTGACATCTCTGCTGGGGGGGTCGAGGCGGTTCCCCAGAGGAGCGCTCTTCCCTTGTTGCGCTGGGTGGTGGCTTCCCAGCCTGAGCTGCCGCCCTGGTCCTGGCTTGTCTTCCCTGCCGTGTCACCTGGCTTTTATTGCACCGGGGGACCTTAGATGTTGCAGTGGGAGGCGAGCCAGGCCTGTGCGGGCTTCTGCCTGTGTGCGCGACTTTGCTCTGGCCCCACACGGCAAGGCCGACTGACCAGGGTTGGTGTTGCTGCTGCCGCAGAACCCCCCTGCCCCACCCCTCCCTGCCCCCGTGGTGGGAAGGATGGACGCCTCTGATGTGTGCTGGTCCCGGCGGGGTTCCCATCGGGGTTGGGTGCGGGCCACCCTCAGAGTGAGGAGAGGTTCTCTAGCGATCCTCGTTCGGGAAGCGGCATGCGCTGCTGGGTTATTGGGGGCCCGCACCCGATGGGCTCCCGCGGCCCTGCCACTCCCTGTCCTGCTTTTGAGCGTTAGTGGCTGCCCACGTCAGTAACTGCGTGCCTGCGCCTCCCCCCTCCGAGCTGGGGGAGGGTCCCGCGGGGCCTCTCCCTGGCCGTCATCTGGTGTGGTGAGTGGAGGATGTTCCCGATCCGTCCCCGCCCCTGCCTCGCATGCAGTGTGTCGAGTGGCGGAGCCTGGAGCCCATGCCGGGCCACGATGCGAGGGCGTCTGGTGTGTGGCTTCCCGGCCTCGTGCTTGGGGTGCCGTGGGGTTTTTGGGGGTCTCGTCCCCCTCCCCCTTCGGCCCCTGGCAATGCTGTTCCCGAGCGTCTGTGTGGGCCGCCGCCCGGTGGTGATGATGGTGCTGTGCGGGTG